CCATGAGTTTATACTGATATGTCAGAAACCAGTCCAATCCTATAGGCTTCATTTTAGCTGTTCCCTTTTCCTTAAAAACTTTTTTCTCCACCAATGAGAAACCCAGTTCATGATCTGTATTATATTTGTTTAATTCTACCACACACAGAAGTGGTTTCAAGTTGTTGACCTTTCCCCCTGCCTTCTCCCAAACACTTAGTATGTGGATCATGGCATTTACATACAGTTCAGTTGGTCTTATTTTTAGGTATCCAGTCAAGATAGTGTTTCCTTGTTTTTTAGGAGAATTCTTTTCTTCCCCACCCGCTGTAGAGTGGCTATGTTACTCATATGTAATATATTTCATTCCTTGGCATTTATATTCAGTTTTCTGCCTCTCCTCACACATCATGGTTTTTGTTTCTGTTTACTGGTTTATTATCAGAAATAAAGCATAACCCAAGTAACACAGTTTCCTCAAAATGATCACGAAATAATATTTTAAACATTAAAATAAAAATATGGCATATTGAATGACTGTGAACAATATTTAAATAAAACCAAAAAGATTTCTCCTTTTGGATAGAAAACAAGAAATGTCACAATGGACTGAGAAATAAAATCAAGATATTTCTAGAAAACAAACCTCAATATATACCTAAACCACTAAGAAATGGTGGGTTAAATTTTATATGATTTACTGAATCTTTAAGGCAGTGATTTTCAAACTTTTTCCATCATAGCACACATGAACTAATTACTAAAATTCTTCAGAACACCAAAAAATATCTTTTGCTGATCTGACATAAAACAGGTATAATTTTGTTTCATTCACACCAGACGGCTATTGTTGTGTTCGCTGTTGCCATTTTTTAATTTTACAATGTAAGGGAAAAGGGGTCAGTGCCTCTAGCTAAACAGTCAGGTATTGCATGTTTGAAAAATTCTTGAGGCACACAGGTTGAAAATTGCTGTTCTAAGGCAAAGAATGCACACCAGACTTTTCATCAAGTATCTAAGACTATATTAGAGATCGAAAAACAACTGTACTTTAACGTGAAAAGTTATAGATCAAAGATGTAGCAAGCTGTACATCAGAAGTTCTTTGACAGATATGGAGAACAGAATAATGCCCTTCCACTCCCCCAGCTCGCCAAAGATGTTCATAGGACCTATAAATATGTTAAGTTACATGGCAATGAGAAATTATGGTTGAAGGTAGATTTATGATTACTTAGAAATCAAGATCACTTGATTTAAAAAAATATATATTTTATTGGTTATGCTGTTACAGTTGTCCCATTTTTACTCCCCTTGATTCCCCTCCGCCCTGTACCCACCCTCCCATGAACATTCTACCCCCTTTGTTCATATCCATGGGTGGTACATGTAAGTTCTTTGGCTTCTCCATTTCCTATACTATTCTTAACTCCTCCTTGTCTATTTTTCACCCACTATTTATGCTTCTTATTCCCTGTAACTTTCCCCCATTCTCCCCCTCCCACCCTAGCCCCTGCTGATAACCCTCCATGTGATCACCATTTCTGTGATTCTATTCCTGTCCCAGTTGTTTGCCGTTTGTTTTTGTTTTTGTATTTTTAGGTTTGGTTGTTGATAGTTGTTGAGTTTGGTTGCTGATAGTTATTTTTAGGTTGGGTTGTTCATAGTTGTTGAGTTTTGGTTGTTGAGTTTGTTGTCATTTTACTGTTCATAGTCTTGATCATCTTCGCTTTCTTAGGTAACTCCCTTAACATTTCATATAACAAGGGCTTGGTGATGATGAACTCCTTTATTGTGACCTTAACTGGGAAGCACTTTATCTGCTCTTCCATTCTAAATAATAGCTTTGCTGGGTAGAGTAATTTTGGCTGTAGGTCCTTGCCTTTCATGACTTGGAATACTTCTTGCCAGCCCCTTCTTTGTCTGAAAGGTTTCTTTTGATAAATCAGCTGATAGTCTTATGGGAACTTCTTTAGAGGTAACAGTCTCCTTTTCTCTTGCTGCTTTTTTCTCTATCTTTAATCTTGAGTAATTTAATTATGATGTGCCTTGGCATGTGCTTCCTTGGGTCCAACTTCTTTGGCACTCTCCGAGCTTCCTGAACTTCCTGGAAGTCTACTTCCTTTGCCAGATTGGGGAAGTTCTCCTTCATTATATTTTCAAATAAGTTTTCAATTTCTCGCTCATCCTCTTCTTCTTCTTACACTATGATTTAGATGTTTTAATGTTTAAAGTTGTCCTTGAGGTTCCTAAGCCTCTCCTCATTGTTTTAAATTCTTGTTTCTCTATTCTGTTCTGGTTGAATAGTTATTTCTTCCTTTTGGTCCAAATTATTGATTCCCGATTTCCATCCCATCACTGTTGGTTCCCTGTACATTTTCCTTTATTTCACTTCGCATAGCCTTCACTTCTTCCTCTATTTTGCAACTGTACTCAACCATTTCTGTGATCATCATGCTCACTAGTGTTTTGAACTCTGCATCTGATAGATTGGTCGTTGTGGCTTAGGTCTATTTTTGCAGCTTTGACCTATCCTTTCATTTGGGACAGATTTCTTTGTCTCTGTGCAGCTGTTACATTATAAGGGGCGGGGCCTGAGACATTCACCAGGGTGGGGCAACCCACTTTGCTGCTGCATTTTGGCATTATATTTGGGGGAGATGTCCAAGAGGGAACAATGCCTCTTGCTTGGCTCTTGGCCAGCTTTCAGTCACTTTCCCCACTACCCACAAGCAAATTGGGCCCTTTTGCTGCTGATTCCCAGGCGGGTGCGCGTGTGTACATTCTAGGACCTTGTGGATCTCTCCAATGAACTCTCCTGTGAGGCTGGAAGCTTCTCCCACTGCTGCAATCCCTACAGGTTTTTACAGCCAGAAGTTTTTGGAGCTTTCTTTTCCCACACAGGAACCCTGGGTTGCATGGTCTACCTCGCTCCTGTTGTTCATCCTGGTTTATCTGCACAGTAATGTGAGACCACCATCCATTGCCCTACCTATTGGGTTTGTCAGCCGCTGCATTGCTGTGTATTCTCTCCACCCCCGCTATCCATCTCTTCCCCTCCTACCATTCTGGATGAATGTTTCTTCTTTAACTCCTTGGTTGTCAGACTTCCACACAGTTTGATTTTCTGGCAGTTCTGGTTGACCTGGTTTTTAAATTTGTTCTTGTCCTTCTTTTGGTTGTGTGAGGAGGCACACCTATGCCTGCATCTTGGCCAGAAGTACTAATCACTTGATTTAAAATGGGAAGATTATTCTGGATTATCTGGATGGGACTGCTGTAATCACAAGGATCCTTAAAAAAAAAAAAAAAGAAAGAAACAAGAATCCTTAAAAGGATAACAGTTGGTCAGATAATGTGAGATAGACCTAAACTTGCTGACTTTGAAGATGGAGAAAAAAAGCAGCCAGAAACCAAGGAATGCAAGCAGCATCTGGAAGCTAGAAAACAAACTGAATTCTTTCCTAGAGCCTCGCCAACACCTGTTTAGAAGTGAAACACATGTCAAACTTCAAATCTACAGAACTGTGAGATGATCAATTGTGTATTAAGCCATTGTTTGTTAGCACTGCAATAGGAGACAAAAACAACCACCATTTGAATCTCAAAGGACTGTTCAGCTTGGTTCTTGTCTGTCCTACTTTCTTATCTTTTCCTTTTGGTCTATGCTCCAGACAGACATCTCACTGTTAGTTATATTATCCTACTTGGTTATATTTATTGGGGCGGGGGCTGGTGGGGCTGAGGGGGTGGTACATGAAATATTACTGTTTCTAGGGTTCAGTCTAATACAAAAAGATTTGCCAGTCCCACATCAACCTTATTGATGGCAACCTTGTTCCCATTTCTTCCCCTCTTCCCCCCATTCCCATATAGGAAATCAGTCACTTTCATTTCAGGTTTATTCTTGTATTTCTTTTGCACAAATGAGCAGATATATTTGTGTTTCCTTTTGCCTTCTTCTTACACGAAAGGTAGTATTTTGCCTTTAGGCAAAACTAACTTTTTAAAGTCCAGTAATTTAGCACAATAAATCTACTTATTTGATTGAGCGAATGTTGTTCTGCTTAAACACTAAGAGTCATGTGAAATGAATTAAAGCTTAGACCTAAGGGAACTGAAATAGCATAGTTAGCTTTCAGGAAGTTCGAATCCTTATCTGCAGTTATGCTATACACACAGTAGATCATATGACAGATCCTGGTAATTGAGTTAACTTTAGTAAATATAAGTAGCATGGGGCTAAACTATGGAGTTGACAAAGACAGATCAATTATTCCTTTTTCAGAGGTTCACCGGGTGACAAGTTTGAGTTCCTAAGTCCCTGAATCCTAAAGCCCTCAGTTAAACATCTTGTCGAACTATGTCACAGAATCGCCGACTTGGTCTCGAAGCCTAAAGGGAAGCCCCAAACTATTGAATGAGTGCTCTATACAGCAGGCACCTCCCCGATGACATACAACTCTGCCCCAAAGGGGCCAAAAACAAAGCAAAGTATCGCACCCGAACACGTCCTTTTCCTCAAGAAGATCTTCTCAGTGTTCGGTAACCCCTAACACACTAACCACAATCACTCCCACCTCCTCCCTGCAGGAACCAATATTCCCAGGATCCTAGGCCGTTTCGATTGACGTTACTTCCGGGAAAAGTAACCATCCCGCGGCGGTTGCCGGCCTGCATAAGTCTCGCGACATTTACTCCCGCGAGATCTGCTTGCTCACTCCAGCGGTGACATCCTCCTCCTCCTCCTCCCCGCCGCCTTTCGGCAATCTTCGCCAGGCCCAGCCCCGACCAATCTGCACTCTGATGGCATGGATCAGGGTCTCCCCGCCGAACCCCGGTCGACGCGGGGCGTCAGGCGGCAGCGGCGGGGTGTGAGCTGCTCGTGGCCGACTGCAGCGGCACGGCTGGAGGCCACGGGCTGGCGAGGAGCAGTGAGCGTGGGGCGGGGCAGGGGTAGGCCAACTGAGTAACGGCTCGATTGTTCTGGCCTGGCTATGGCGCCTCTCCTCCCCCCCGCCATGGCTCCCCGTGTCCCTGCTCCGCTCCTCTCAGTGAGTGAAAGTGGCCGCCGCCGCCGCCGGCCCAGCGCCCGCAGCCGCCTCAGCGCCGCCGCCATCTTGGGGTCCCAGGAGCCGCCGAGGGAGCGGGCTAGGAGCGTCCACGCTCAACGCAGTCACCGTCCCACGGTCTCAGAGAGCGAACCGCGGCTCCACCGTCGGCGGGGCGACCCCCCCCTCCGGACCCCGCCCGCACCCCGCCCCCCCTCCGCCGCCGCCGCGGCGGCGGGGCCCGGCGGCCCGAGGTGAGGCGACTAGACGTGGGCGGGTGAACGGAGTAGGGGTCGGGTAGGCCCCGTTGCGCCCCTCTCTGCGGGCGACAACTGGGCCGCGTCTTAAAGGGGCCGTCGCCCCCGGCCCTTGGGTGTGTTGGGGTTAGTGGGGAGGATGGGTGTGAACACTCTCTGCAGGGTTGGGACCTCTGGGACCTGGGCCTTTTTCTTCACCTCCCGTATCTCTGGATACCAGGGGTCACACGGTGACCTCAGCCAGCGGAGGAAGCCCGTGGGGCGACCACACGTGGGGAGTGTGTTAGACCAGGTGCACGTGGGACCTGGTGGGGCGGTGTCGGGCTAACACGTGTGTGGGTTTGGGGGTGGGGTGGGGCAAGGCGGGGGCTGCTTGGGCTCTACTAGGAACCCTGTGAGAGTTATACTTATCGTTTAAACCATTTGAGATCTAGGGGCTTGATAGTGTGTCAATTTATGGGGAGCGAGTTGGGATAGGGGTTTATGGTGCTAGCTGCTTGTTGGTATTGGTTGGGGGCAGCTTAACACGTGCGCAGATTTGGGAGTGTGTAAGTGACACTCCTGGCCTTTTAGGCTTTCATAGGGCGTCTAGGCAAGTGTCATTCCTATTTGACATTCCTTCTTGAGCTTGCTGATGAAAACTACTACTTCCGTGATCACTGAGGGTAGAAGCCCCCTACAGTTTGGGAGTGATAGAGCCTAAGAAGGCACTCACTGTTTTAGTTAACAGCCAACTGTGCAGAATTCTTTGATTTCATACACTGATACACGGTTTAGTTTCGTGTTCCTGTACTTGTTGGTCAGAGTGGAGAGGAAATAAGGGGGTTGACGTCGCTAACATCACTGGTAACCAGTTTACTTTTCCCAACCAGTGACTTTCCTGATTTCCTAAGGAAGTTTTCATTGTCATTTACTAGAGCAGCTTTTAATTTATTTTCTAAAGTAACAGCTTTATTGATGTATAATTTGCATACCAAAAAATCTCACCCTTTTAAAAAAGTGTGCAGTTCTGTGGGTTTTAGTATATTCATAGAGTTGTACAGCTATCACCACTATCAAATACATCACACCAAAAAGAGTCCCCTTTAAGCAGTCACTCCCCATTCCTTCTCACCATAGCCACTAGCAACTAATCTATTTTCTGTCATTGTACATTTGCTTATTTTGGATTTTTTTGTATAAATGGAATCACAGGTATACTTTTGTGACTGGCTTTCACTTAACATGTTTTAAAGGTTCATCTATGTTGTAGAATTTTGTTCCTTTTTATTGCCAAGTAATATTCCATTCAGATTATGTTTTATGTTTGAGACTTACAAGCTTTTCATATACAGTGACAATTCAAGATTATTGTATATGGTAAAAGTTGGATGCCTGTTAGATTCTAAAATGAATTTATGTTTTTAAGGACTAAATTCCATTATTTTAGTTTACTGTTCATTTTTCCTACATTTTTGTTTCAAAAGAATCCAAACCAACTTTTAAAGATCCATGTGTTAGGGAATAACTGTTAACAGCACAAATGTGATTAGAAAAGTTTATGACTAATAAAGACATTTTGAGTATGTCAAGGTGGAAATGTGATTAAGCAATTGTAAACTATGGTGTTATAGTTTCACTTAATGGAAATTTGTCATCGTATTACTGAGGGAAGGTATAACAGCTTTTGACTGGTGTTACACATGTAGACGTATGGTAAGGAAAGGAATACTAGACATCTCTCCTGACAAGGTTAAAACTGGCGTAGGCATTTAACATGTCAACATACAAGTTCACACAAAACAAATGCTGGGATGCAGTGAATTTTAGAAAGGGCAGAATGAAATAGAGTTCACAGGAAACCGAGTTTATGTAGGAAAGTAAGTGAAATTGATGACAAGTTTTGAAGTTGCATCTTAAGTAAAAGACTTTTGATATGATAGGCTGTATTATGCAGAGGATGAGAAGAGGATAGTCGCTAATGCTTACTTAAACAAAGTTTGTGGGCACTAATCCCAGTCCTGAGGGCTTGGTCTCACCTCCTGATACCATTACTTCAGGGGCAGAATTTCAGCATGTGAATTTTCGGGGGGACACAAACATTAAGACCATACCTCTACATTAAATCTGAAATTGGCTTAGAAAAGCATTGATGATACAGCAAGTTTACTTAGGATTGAAAAGTTAGTCACAAAGAAGCTTGATGCCTGTGTTTAATGAGTACATAAGAGATTTCCATATATATTAGGTCAGAAGTAGGAAATCAGTAATAGTAAATATAGTTAACCTAAGTATAAAGAGATAACTGGGACTAAATGTTATCCATGTTTTGAATGAACTAAAGGACAGTGAGTAAACTGTGTGACATGCCTTTGTAAACTTTTACTACCAGGGATTGACAGCCTGTGTGATGGTCTCTAGAGCAAGCAGGGTTCTTACATTTTTTTTTTTTATGTGAACCGAATATCTTTGCAGGCTAAAAAAGCATGTGAACCTCTTCTCAGAATATGATTGACTTATTTATTTATTTGCTTAGAGCAAAACAAATTTATTATCTTACATTTATGGAAGACAGAAGTCTGAAATGAGTGTCTTCTGAGGACTCTAGGATCTGTATCTTTGGCTTTTCCAGTGGCCCACTTTCCTCATCTTCAGAGCCAGCCACATTGCATCTCTGACTTTCTTCCACATAGTCATTTTTCCCCAGTCTCTTGTTGACCACTTTTGTGATAATGTTGGGCTCACCTTCAGTTGTTACAACAAAATACCATGAACCAGGTGCCTTGCTATGTCTTCACATGGTAGAGAGAATAATGACTTTTAAATGTACATAGTCCAAATATTTAAATTTATGATGTAAGAAACTTGCTTTTATTATTGAATTAAATAACAACTAGCGATGGTCCTGATAATACTGCTGTGGTGTGCTGCGTACATTCAGAGTTGAAGGAAATGCTAATTTCAGTTATAGGTTAGTGAAAAAATATAAATTTTTTCCATCCAAGTTCATGAATCCATAGTTTAAGACTCACAATTTTAGAGCCTCTGACCTAAAGAGTCCTGAACACATAATGAAGTAATTTCATATGAGGCAAACCAGTGGTTTCCTTAACAAGAATAAGGCTATTGACTCTTAAATTTGTGTTCAGAAGAACATGAACATGACTTTTTATAAGAAATCAAATGATAGTTTAAGGAGAAACCTGGTAGTATAATGGAAAGACACTGGTTTGGGAGATAAAAAGACTTGAGTTTGAATCTTGACTTACCGCTGGTTAAGTTATGAAATTTTTATTTCAGTTTTCCTTATCTGTAAAATGGGGATAATAATTTTAACTTCTGAGATTAAATAATATATTAACTATAGAACAGCATATTGATGAATGTTAGTTCATTTTCATCTTTGAAGAAATAAATATACCAAAGGCTGTGACATACATTTAGTTTTGATTTAGAAGAGGGTGAACTGTTACATACTAGGAACATGTATGGCATGTAGGGGTTTTCTCAGGGTATTCAAAGTAGAGTTCACTTTTTGGTATTGGTACTAAAACTATTCTTATTTCTTTAATTTTTTTTTTAGTTCTATTCTTATTTTTTTGTAACTATTTTTTTATTTTACTGATTATGCTATTACAGTTGTTCTATTCCCCCCTTCATTCCCCTCCACCCTGCACCCCCCCACCCCCACCATTCCCCCCCTTTAGTTTATGACCATGTGTCTCAAGTTCTTCAGATTCTATATTTCCCATACTATTCTTGCCCCCCTATCTATTTTCTACCTACCGTCTATGCTACTTATTTTCTGTACCTTCTCCCCCCTTCTCCTTCTCCCACTCCCCTGTTGCTAACCCTCCATGAGATCTTCATTTCTGTGTTTCTGCTCCTGATCTAGCTGTCCTTTTAGTTTGCTTTTGTTTTAGGTGTGGTTGTTAATAATTGTGAGTTTGCTGTCCTTTCACTGTTCGTATTTTTTTTATCTTCTTTTTCTTAGGTAAGTCCCTTTAACATTTCATATAATAAGGGCTTGGTGATGATGAACTCCTTGAATTTGATCTTATCTGAGAAGCACTTTATCTGCCCTTCCATTCTAACTGAAAATTTTGTTGGATAGAGCAATCTTGGTTGTAGGTCTTTGGATTTCATGACTTGGAATACTTCTTTCCAGCCCATTCTTGCCTGTAAGGTCTCTTTTGAGAAATGTGCTGACAGTCTGATGGGAACTCCTTTGTAGGTGACTGTCCCTTATCTCTTGCTGCTTCTAGGATTCTCTCCTTCATTTTAATCTTGGCTAATGTAATGATGATGTGCCTTGGTGTGTTCCTTCTTGGGTCCAACTTCTTTGGGACTCTCTGAGCTTCCTGGATTTCCTGGAAGTCTATTTCCTTTGCCAGACTGGGGAAGTTCTCCTTTATTATTTGTTCAAATAAGTTTTCCACTGGTGGCTGTTCCTTTCCCCCTTCTGGTACCCCTACAATTCGGATGTTGGAGCGTTTAAAGATGTCCTGGAGGTTCCTAAATCTCTCCTCATTTTATTTTGAATTCTTGTTTCTTCATATTTTCCTGTTTGGCCATTATTTTCTTCCTTCTTTTTCACTCCCTTGATTTGATTCCCAGTTTCCTTTTCATCACTATTGGTTTCCTGTGCCATTCCCCTCATTTCAATGAGTTTAGCCTTCATTTCTTCATCTAATTTGCAACTAAAATCAACCAGTTCTGTGAGCATCCTGATCACCAGTGTTTTGAACTATGCATCTGAAAGATTTGCTATTTCTTTGTCACTTAGGTTTATGGGCTCTGGGGCTTTGAGATCTTCTTGAGCCATTTTTGGTCTGTTTGTGCCCATTAAGTATGAGGAGCGGAGCCTTAGGTGTTCACCAGGGTAGGGTCGCCCAGGTTGCTGGGTTGTGACGCTGCATGTGGGAGCAGGGTCAGAGTGGGGAAATGGCGGCCCCCTCTACTGCCTCCCGCCCCTGGGGCATGCTGGGTCCTGTCTCACCACCTACTCCCTCGCTGGT